ATAGCACATAATAAATCCAAAGCCCAGATCACTGAAATATGGGGAATTTTTTCCTCACCTACTGAGTAGTGAATTTAGAGGAAATATCTTTATAATACTATGTGCATTCTAAAGTTAAACATTTTATTTCATGATGCACTATTATTTGTGGGTTCTAAAATTCATAAATCTGGGGAATGAATGTGACCAAAACATCTGTAGTCCATGATTCACAAGTGACTTGGTTTTCAGTTTTAATGGAAATTGATGTAAAACTAAGAGGAAAGATCTTGGAAGACCAGCAATTGACAGTGCTGATATTGCATTCATCCAATCATAAATCATCCAAATATAAACTTTCCACATGAAAACAAAGTAGCAATAATATATCTTTAACACCATATCCCAGATACTAGGGAAGAATTCAATAGGTGGATAAAAATAAAAATCTTGCTAACCAATTAGCTGATTGTTCAACCAATCATCATCATTCAACTGTTAAATGAACTCAGTAAGAAAGTAAATATAAAGAACTGCACTGAAAGTCACACCACAAGATTGATGGGAATATATATATATATATATATTACCCATGCGGTGCTATTATTATTGACATTGGTTGCTTTGCTTGAGGGTATTTCTGCATGAATAATACTTAAGAGAGATTCTTCTGCTCCTGAATACAGATCATACTAGTCGCTGGATTGGTTGCAACTAGTATGTAACAATATTCTGTAATTAACATTGCCCAATAAATATTCCTTGCCTTTTGTTTGATTTTGTCTTATATTTGAATATAAAAACATACTGTCGGATTGTTACACCATTTCCTGAGAAATATCTCAGGAGCATTAAGGAAGTTAATGGAAAACAATCCCCACAAAACTTAGATTGCCAGAATTACTTGGCAGTTGCCCAGTTGTTGTGTTGAAACTACTACAAGCTATTATCACAAGACCAAATGAATGGTGTCCTTAAGCATCCAAAATACTGGTTTTTAGTTTACACCTTAAGGACAAATAATTTGGCTAAACAAGGGATAACTTGTCTTTAGGACTTCACCTTTTTATTAATTTTCAGATCATAATTACAATGTTTATTTGCTAAGCAAATATTGAGATTGGTACTAGCCTTCTATGGACTCAAGGGGTAGTGAGGTGCCTTTGATATTTTTCTCTGCAAAGCCAAGCCTCATTGTAGCAGTGTAAGCCTTACTAGAGAGCACTTCTAATGAGAGAAACGTCAAACTCACAAACCCATTGTTATGATCTGTGGGAATGACTTTGGGAGAGGAAGAGCTGCAGGTAGACAATGATGGGATAAATGAAAATTAAGTCTAAAGGAAAAACAGTGGAAACAGCATCTCTCAAGAGACCCTCCCTAGTTTTTGGGAGAGTAAAAGGGAGGGATAGGTGGGGTACTTTCAGATTTGCAAGATTATGTAAAAGCAACCTTGCAATAAACATAATGCTAGTAGCTCAGAAGGAATAAAAATATTGGAGTATCTTACCAGAGATTTCGGAAGTGTAATTTTTCTCTCCTGAAATTTTATAAGGACTACAATAAGAATGATTACCAAAATAACCAGGGCAACAGTTCCAAAACTTATCAATAGTGTAAAGCCTACAAAATTAAAAAAGACACCTGTTATTGTATAAAATTAATGCTGAATACATACTACCACCATATGATGTACATTTTCTATATACCTCAAAGAGACAAAAGATATATAGTTATATATAGTGATATACAGTAGCACTTATATATAAGTGCTACTGTATATCACTGTATATAAGTAGTCAGCACTTCACTGGTCCTTCTTTCAGAAAGCATAATGAACTCATGCAACTCCCTAAAATCACAAATGTATACAGCCACTGTCCAAAAAAGCATAATGCAGTGTATTTAAATGGGTCCAATTATAAAATCATTTTATACTGAGGTACCTAGCTAGCTTGACATCATAGCAATGGTAGCTTACCTTTCTCTCCAGCTTAAGTTAGGGTTGGAGAACAGAAACAATTTGAAACACTTCTACGATAATATTTTATACAACTAGGGGTGTTCCAGCTTTGGCCAATAGTACAAGTATACAGATATAAATAGTTTCCAGCACAGAGCTCATGAGAGAAAAAGCTTCATGGAAAGCAAACATGACAGAAACACTCAGAAAAGCAGAACAAGTACATACCACAGCATAAATAGTATCATAAATATTTCACTTGGCCTTAACCCTTGCATTAGTGCTTGTATGTTAAACCGTGTACAAATGTATACAAGTATAAATATTTTGCTTAAAAATGCTACTTAAAAAAAGACAGCTCAGAATAGAATTGACAAATCCTATAAAACACATTCAGGACTCCCAACGTATCTTTTCTCTTATTTAGTGATTTTAATTAGTTGGCAGGAATTAGTTGTTTCTGAATCTCTACATTGCTTAATGAACATTAGAAACTTTGTAAATGCTGTGTTTCCCTAAAAATAAAACCAGGTCTGATATTAATTTTTGCTCCAAAAGATGCATTAGGGCTTATTTTCCAGTTAGGTCTTATTTTCAGGGAAGTATGGTACTAATATGTATCCAACTGGCTGCCAATCTTAACCGGGGTTTATTTTGGGGGCAGGGCTTGTATTATGAGCATCCGGAAAAATCATGCTAGGGTTTATTTTCCAGTTGGGTCTTATTTTGAGGCAAACACGCTGTAGGTAATACCCAGGTTATAATAATTCCCTTAGCGAACATTCGAAGTTATGCAATAAGCACCCCCTAGTGTTTACGAACAAGTCCCGAAACTACAAATCTTGCAGCACCATGGCATTAGTTTACCCTTATGACCAACTACAGAGGCTCTGCAACATTTGTCCAGCACATTGCCAGCCTAGAGCTTCAGAGGGGCAGATCCCGCCCTCCGATGTTCTATTCGGGCCTTTGGAACCCTTACCTGGCAGATTGCAGGCCAATATGGAGTGTCAGGAGGGGGGAGGACACTCCATTCAGGCCTCCCCCAGGAGGTTGCAAGCTGAAATGAAGCTTCAGAGGGAATGATCCGCAACATGCTGGTGAGGCCTCCAGAGGCCCGAGTGGAGCATTGGAGAGGTAGATCCACCCCTCCGAAGCTCCATTTGGACCCTCAGCATGCTGGGTGAGGCCTCCGGAGGCCTGGGGTGTCAGAGGGGCAGATGTGCCCATCTGGATATCCATTTCAGCCTGCAAATTGCTAGGCAAGGGCTCTGGAGGTCTAAAAGGAATTGCAGAGGGGTGCATGTGGCTGAGAGGCTGGAGAGAAGACTGCTTGTTAGATCTTCATACGGTAAGTGACCTGGTGCAGCAGGTTGGGTGGTGGTGGTGGGAAAGCAACTGTGGGGAGTATGAGGTATTTCAGTGGGTCCTCATATGCATTTAACAAGCCTCGCATTCGATTAGTGAATGCGTGGGCAAAAGGAGGGAGTGATCCTGTTCAAGGTACGAGATTCACTCCCACAAATCCTAGGGTTATGACTCAAATAGGCAGGCTCCATTACATTTGTAACTCGAGACTACCTGTAATTGCAGCATCAATTACAGACGCACTTTGGTAATAATTCCTGCTTTGACTATACCAATAAATCCATACTATTTCAACATGTTAATTTATCCTTCAAGAGTTTTCAATGAGACTAATTCCTGTAATACAGTTGTTTTTATAAGATAGAATTTACTTGCCATGAATAATTTTCTCCAGCCTAAAATTCTCTAAAACTCTTGGTCCAATTGGCTTAGAAAAATTATAGACATATTTCTTTTTTAAAAAAAATCCCAGATTTATGAACAGAATTGCCTACATTTGGAACCACTAAAATGGTATTCATTAATTGCAACTTCAAGTTAGTATTACAAATTATATAACCATATTCATTTTTTCATAAAAAGATATTACTTTAACCCTGAGAAAACTAACAATTTGGAAAGGGTAGAATTTGCATTATTTGTCAAGAGTTAAAATGTAAATAATCTTCCTCTCTTTTTAAATGGGATTTTGATGAACAAAAAATGGGAAAAAGAAATATGCTACAATCCAGTTGGATGATGCATAATTCAAGGTTCAACCTAGACATCCATTATATGCAAATTTCAACATTTTAAAATGAGATATATTAAATTGAGCACCTTAAAATAACGGTTCTTTTCTCTCTATATTACCAATTTGAATTTATAAGAAAAAAAGAAAAAAAAGAAAAAAAATGAGAGGAGAGGGAAGGCAAGGAGAGGGGAGGGAAAGGTAAGGAAAATATGACTTCTGCTTTTTTGCTCTCTTCTGCCTCTCTGGATTTTTCAATAAATAATACTTTGCAATACACTGAGAGAAATCCTTTTCCCACAGACATGTAAAAATGAGATGCTGATAGAAATGTGCTGAGCTTCAGGACAGATTTTTTTGTACAATTATCTATTTACTGAAGATTTTAAATCTTTACCTAGGTAGGACTTGGGAGTTGGTGAGATGCATTTTTCTTCTGACTCTTCACCAACCTTTGTTAGTGATGATGAAAAGACTTGAGTGGAAATACAGTAAGAGGTATCCAAAGGAACAGATAGAGATGTATTGCATTCCTCAAAATAGCAGTCATCTGTGATAACCTCTTCTCGCTATAAAAAGTGAAATATATTGCAGTTAGAACTTTCTTTAAGAAATGTAAACATAATAAACAGAAATATACAGTCCCTATCTGCAAAGAAACCAATTCTTTCTTCAAACTTTTTGAATCTCGTTTTAGTCTAGAATACTCTGCACCATGCCAACTCAAAACATTTACTTCCAAAAAACTACCAAACTACTCCTAAAGAGGACATGGTTTGTAGAACTAGTTCAGAGTTTTCTGGAATGTTGTTTCTAAACTTCCTGTGAGTTTTGAATTTCATAAGAATCACATTTAGTCTTGCAAGATTCTGTTACTATATCTTTATCATAAAAATAACATTGAACTGCATGATTTTGGTTTCCTAGTGTGGTCTACCTTGAAGGGCTGATAAATTGACCCCGGCAGGAGGCATTCTGCCAAAGTAGAGATTATTGGTGACTTACCGCCTCACTACCATTCATTCTCTACTCTGCTACCACCAATGTCACAGATAGCAGAAGCAGCCACCACTAAGTTCACAAGGTTTAACAACTTTTTTGAATACAGAATCAAAGGCACAAATATTATGAAGAAAAATTTGAGACTTAAAATATACCTTTTCTGGGTTTCCATGTTTCCAAATGAACAATTTGTAGGTGAACTCCTCAATCAGGTTACCATATGGAAATAAAGGTGGTTCAATATTGACTACTATGTCCCCATTATCAATGGAAAGATTGAACTTCGGAGGTCCTATTTGGCCTGAAGGAATTGCAAAATTTTCTATTAGTATCAAATTTTGACAACACAACCCAACATTCTAAATAAATGCTTATTTATATAGAAATAGAATGCAATGGTATAAGTCACTTTCTTGGAACAATAGGTAGGAAATGTAATCAAGAGACCACTTTTACAGACTTCCTGGGAGGAGCCTACTGGTGGGGGCAGCAAAAAATCAGCTGCCTCCGAATTCCTGTTGAAACACCTCCTTCCCTCTGTAAATCAGTTTAGATA